CAAACAAGTTCAGAATTCCAGCTTTTATTTCATGGTATTTACATCTATATTTACACAACTCACGTTAAAGCAACTTTTGTTCGAAGCCAGCCAGCTTAAGTGAACACAAGTATTGGTACAGACTTTATTTAATTAACCTAAAGTGAATAAAATTTTGTATTGATGGCATAACTCTAACTTGCAATATCTGCATCAAGCCTGCGACCCATTGACTTCACCAGACTGTTGCATGTTCATTTGAAATGCTTTTCCAGGCCTTCACTGCAGCCTCTTTCAGTTCTTGTTTGTTTCTGGGCGCTTCTCTCTCCAGTCTCCTCTCCAGAAGGTAAAATATTGGGTCGATTGGATTAAGGTCGAGTGATCGACTTGGTCAGTCTATGACCTTCCACTTTTTCCCCCTGATGAAGTCGTTGAAGTGTTGTGCTGGTATTGTGTTTTGGGTCATTGTCTTGTTGCATGATGAAGCTTCTTCCGACTAGTTTGGATGCTTTTTTCTGTAAATTGTCAGACAAAATATTTTTGCAGACTTCAGATTTCATTCTGCTGTGACCGTCTTTTGTCTTCATTTCATAGCGTGAGTTTCTGTTTTGCAGCTTTGAGTCATATTTATTTATTTTTGCACAATCGTATTTCAGCTTCTATACTGTATGTGTTCACATGTAAACGTTATAAAGCCAACACCATCAAAATCCCAGGTGCTGGAGTCAAACACACACACGGTGTTGAAATGGCAGTTTCTTTTTTGATCAGTCAGATTTTAGATTCACCACTCTGCGCCTTCATAACGTAGGCTCAGTGATGTATCTTTTCAAGGTGTGGTATTCAAGAAAACCAGACATTGTGAGGATAAGTCAGTCAACACTAATGCTGGCTTATCTTGTTTCAACATAGATTTATTTGCTTTTGTTTTTTTTTTTTTGGGGGGGGTTCATGGACAAAATTGTTGGTAGCCCTCTGTTAATGTAAGGAAACACCCAATTAGCAGTTATTCATGACATCACAAATTTTATGAAATTCAACCAATGAACATTATACATTGTTTCTGAATTGTGGTTCAGAATCAGAATCATCTTTATTGGCCAAGAATGTAAAAACACACATGAAATTATCTCCAGTAGTTTGAGCCCCACTAGGATTACAGTAACACACAGCTAGCTATATGTATAACATAAACAACATTTAAGAGAGCACTTACATCATGTAAAAGTACCATTAGTGCTGTAGTATCGAAGAATGACAGCTGTGCAAATGATGGAGTGTCTAGTAGTGCAGTAATTATGATACGATGACAAATATGCAACTGATGCAGAGTCCTTGGGCACTTTTAAAATGTCCAATGGTGTCAAATAATGATCAACAACAGTTATTCAAGTATGTCGAAAGGTGGAGCGACAAGCATGAATAGGGTAATACAGACGCTCCCCGACTTATGAACATTCGAGTTACGAACAACGGTACATACGAACATTTTTGCGGGTACAGGTATGTCGAAAAATGTTCTCAGACAGAGATGCTGTAAGTTAGATTTTGTATTGCGCGCCTTTTTCCGAGTACTGTAGTGCTTCTTTCCGCCGCTAATACCGACTTGAGGCGCTGTGAGAGGAGGAGGAGGAAACGCCTGTCCCCATGAAGAAATTCGAGACGGAACTCTTGCCCGAGGGGTTTTCGCTCATAGATAAAGCCATCGCACTCTTCGAGCAGCAAGACCCAAATATTGAACGTTGCACAAAGGTTGCAAATCAAATGAATGATGCCATACAGTGCTACTGCATCATTTATGATGAGAAAAAGAAGAAAACTGTGCAATCGTCGTTAGATCGCTTCTTTCGGCCAGTTTCTACTACACCCTCCAAGGAAGATACTCGTCAACCCTCATCTTCTTCTCCTGGACCCTCAACTTCTTCCTTCATTGATGTTACGGAGGAGGAATTAACTCTTGAAGCCCATTCCAGCGGCGACGAAGACCCTCTCGGCCCCATGATATAAAATCCTCCTCTTCCTTCTCCTCCCCCTCCATCATCTCCTTAAGCCTTCGAGTACTTCTTCCAAAAGTAAGTTAAACTTCATTTTATTATACTTATATAAACCTTAAACATACTTATATGAGCCTTAAACATACATTCCAAACAAAATATAGCACTGAAGCAACTTACAAACGAATTCACCTAACGAACAATCCTTCGGAACGTATCTCGTTCGTAAGCTGGGGAGCGTCTGTACTGTCATAAAGGGATGCGCAAAATTGACAAGTTTAGTAAATGTTTTTATGGAACAACCAGTGAAATGTTTAGGGAATGGACGGCAAGAGGGAAGAAGCTATTGGAATGTATGATGGGTTTTGTGTGCATAGTTCAATAATGCCAAGGTGTGGGAAGGAGCTGGAACAGATGGTGACCAGGATGTGCAGGGTCCAAGAGAATTTTGCCTTCCCTTCTCTTTGTTCTTGCAAGTCCACAGGAGTGGGTAAGGGGTTACCGGTGTTTTTTTTTTCCAGCAGTCCTAACTGTCCATTGCCAGCACCAAACCAGACTGTGATGGATGAACAAACAACTGATTCAATGAGATTTGTGTCGAATTGTCTCAACAGCTCCTGTTGGCGGCTGTATTTCCTCAGCAGCCGCAGGAAGTACATCCTTTGATGGGTCTTTTTCAAGATGGAGAAGATGTGCTTCCACTTCAGGTCCTGAGAGACTAATTGCTAGGAACGTGAAAGTCTCGACAGTTGACACAAGGAAATTCCTGAACAAAATTTCTTGGTTGTGTGGTAGCAAAATTGCTACATTAGAATGAAAAATTTTCCTAAAGCCCACGATCATCTTTGCCATTTTAAGCATGCTCAGCTCCAAGTTGTGTGAGTGACTCGTCACAGTCAATGAGGCCAATGACGGTGTCCCCGGCGAACTTGAAGAGTTTTTCTAGCTGGGCGCGTTGAGGTGCAGTTATTTGTGTTGAGGGATAAATGCAGTGGAGAGACGACACATCCTTGGGGGGTCCTGGTGCTGATGGTGCATGTTGATGATGATGATGATGTCTCCTTCAGCCGCGCCGACAGTGCCCTTCAGAAATCTGAACATCCACTGGCAGATGGCAGGAGACACGCTGAACTGCAGAAGAGGAGTTCAGGGCTGATAGTGTTTAGCGCAGAGCTGAAGTCCACAAACATGATCCTCAAATGGAGTGGAGCCCCATGTTAACGGACTCATCCACTGAATTGTTTGCTTGGTAGGCAAAATGCAGGGGCTCTAGTAAAGATCCAGTGATGCTCTTTAGGTGGTCCAGCATGAGGATGTCAAAGAAATTCATGCCCACAGAATTTAGACTGACATGTCTGTCAATCAGTTGGAAAATAATCGAATTCAGATTCAGATCCCCCCCCCCCCAAAATTTCAACTGTGATTTAATTTGCAATTCTTTTTTCAAGATGTTTTTTTATCAACAAACACGCAGTGTGACATGGGGGCCCAAAATTTGATCAAAACCAGTGTGCTATGAATAAATAAAAAGAGATTTTTATGGGAATTTTCGGCCAACTGTGTTTTGATCATTAAGCCAGGACAGTTAAGAGAAAAAAAAATCATTCACTATGGCCAACAGATGCCAGTATTGACACCTCAGTGTGGAGCTCAGTATGTGTCACAACAGTGGGTTAGGTCCTAAAACATGGCAGACCCTTGGAAATGCAACAGAAGCAGTTTGTGATGATAAAAGTATTTGTCACGTTAATTATACCTCAAAGAATGTCGTAAAAGACAGAAAATATGAAAAAGATTATTTAGAGGCACAATTGACGGCATAATGTACGTACACCACAGTAAACTCAGTTGTTCTACGATAGTTTGATGCATACCCTGACACATTCACTCACACTCACCACAGAAGAGAGGCTGCAGGTGACATGCAGATCGCTCCATTCAGGAAGTCCAAACATGTAAGTAGTTTATGAGCCCCCTGGGATGTCTGTCGTTAACATTTGTCAACTGTGGGCTTGTGAAGCCCTTTGAGACTTTTTGTGATTAAGCGTTATATATAAACAAATTTGACTTGACTAAAAAGAAAATTATAGACAAGCATGTTTAATGTAAAGGTTATAGGTTAATCTCACTTGAACATACTAAGAAATGTACGATCGACGGGACTGGAGCCAACTTCCCTGTACAGGTATGTGGTCGCATGAGGAAAATGTATGAGAAATTGAAGAGACCACTAAAACAAATGGTAAGAAAAAGTCCCAGAATATCCTACGAACAGAAACTCCTATGTACAGACGAGACAAAACTGGAATATTCTGGCAAAACAGATGAGTTCTATGTTTACTGTTAGGTTCTGGTGTTGCTTTGTTGCATCTGGCACAAAATATTTTGAATCTGATCAGGGTGCAATGAAATCACAAGACTATAGATATTAAACTTTTTTTTTAAAATGTGCCACCTAGTGATAGAAAGCATAGTCTCAGTCACAAGTTATGGGCCTTGCAACAGGATACGAACCCAAAACACACCTGAACACACCCAAGAATGACTACGAGCAAAATGTTAAAAGACTATTCTGACGTGAGCTCTGAGTGAAATCCTACAGAACACTGTGGAAGGAAGCCGAAACATGCCATCTAGAGAAAGAACCCGTCAAACCTGAGACAACTGCAGCAGTCTGCTCATGAAAAATGGGCCAAAACACCTGCTGTGAGGTGCAGTAGTGTCAGTACAGTCGTACAAAAATTGTTTGATTGCAGTGATTGACTCAATAGGTTGTATAACAAAATATTAGGGTAAGGATACCATCATTTTGTTAAAAAATACCCAAAACAAAATTAAAAAGCAAATTTTGCAATTTATACTGGTTGATTGTCATTGAAAATCTTTGACTATTTCGGGTTTCGCTTCGAGGTGTACCAAGAATTTTGTCCATGTGTGTTTATAAGGAGGAAGGACGCTTCGGAGCAGTGTTCCCAGTTAATAAATTAAATCATTTATTAACATCTTGCTTTTAAGTTTGTTATTCACCTGATACGGACATCCCTTGACTCATGCTGTAGGCTACTCCTGTGCTCCAAATATTCTCAGAGGGGGAGGTGTAATGCGACCCAGGAGGCGGAGTTGGGTTGGTACCCGTGTACCTGTGAATACATATGTTCGACATTAGCAAAACAGAGAACTCTTATGGAGGGGGGTTGCTTGAAAAAGAAAAAAAGGAAAGGCAATTAAATAGAAAAATAAAATGACTTAAATTCACAAATTACATTGTGAAATATATTTAATAATATTGAACTTGAATTAAAGTGGTGGTCAGAAAGAAAAATACACATGGTTTATCAAGAAAAACTGGATCTAAACCTGTTTTGGGTTACACCAGTTGTATTAAAGCAAGCTTATAATCGCTCGCGGACCGAATTTGTCGAAACGCCATGATTGCTAATGATCGCAGCCATACAGTACTTGTCTGCAAAAACCGTAGCACTATTGAAGCTGCTTTGGCCTGGCCATCTCCCTAATTCAACGTGGCATTTTCTTGGTCAGATTCTGACGAACCTGAGTGATTCTCGCAATTTCCAAAGTAAATACTGACAGGAGGTCCGTCAATCCGTCACTGACAACGCCTGTTTTGCTGGCTCTGTGTCATATGAGGCCAATGCCGTAGCATATAATAAATAATTAGCTGCTACATACAAAGGTGGAAGCCTGTCATTGAAGCGGATTAGATTATATCCACTTCGTTTGGACAGATACACTGTGTATGCATGGATGGAGAGATGGAGGGAGAGAGATGGGCAAATAGCTAGATAGCTAGCTAGACAACTACCCAGATATCAGAGTCTGGATGTCATATTCACGATCATAGAGTTGGCAATATCGATCCCGGGATGTCTTGTTGTCGGATGAGGAGGCTGGCGGTGCTGAAGCAGGGTTCCCACTCTTCCACTTGCTTTTTATTTATGGTCCTTTTAAGGACTTTTGAGGTCTAATTTAACCATTTTTTTCAAACGACTTTTTCTCCATTCAGCAGGGGATTCACGGTGGATTTAATGAACAGAAAGCCATATATCACTGAGCTGGTGTTCAAATCATTGCTGCCAAAGGAAGGGCACATCTTTATTTTTAGGGGCAATCAGCTAACCCTTTATTTGACATACCGTATGTCAAATTGGCCCAAAATGACCCAAAGTGATCACATGATCATCATCGGAACTGATCGGAGACGGCGGGAAAAGCAGAGCGGGAACCAGGAAGGCATGTCGCCCAACAGCGGGGTTTGAGGGGAAGGGCGCCAGGCGCATTTTCCAACAAAACTATTAATTGGAAGGGTGGGGAAAATGACATACACAAATGAAATGATCACCACATGTACATTTTTAAGGATTGTTATTGAGTTTAGGAGCTTTCCCTGAAAATTAAGGACAATTAAGAACATAATTGCAACTTTTTTATGGATTTTTATTAACTTTAAAGACCCGTGGGAACCCTGTGAAGCGCTCGCATGACAGCCTGTCCGGCAGTGGACTTTTTTTTTTATTTTTTTAAAGGTTTGGGAAAACCTTTTCTACAACACTTATTAGGGTTACCTAGTGAGGAAAAAAAGTTTGAAAAGGGCTGTGAAAAAATATTTGCCCCCTTCCGAATTTCTGTGTTCTTTGCATATTTATCACATAAAGACTTCAATTCATCAACCCAATTTTTATATCACACCGGGACAACCCAAGGAAACGAAATGCAGTTTCTAAATGCCAATTTAATTTATTTAGACACACCAAAAAATCTAAACCTACGTGAAAAAGTAATTGCGCCCTGAATCTAATAATTGGTTGTGCCACCATTGGCAGCAATAACTAAAATCAAGCGTTTGCAACAAATGGTGATGAGTCTTTCATATCACTGAGGAAGAAATTTTGGCCCACTCTTCTTTGTAGAATTGCTTCAACACTGCCATACTGGAGGGTTTTTTTAAGCATGAACTGCCCATTTAAGGTCATGCCAAGGTATGATAATTTGATTCAGATCCGGACTTTGAGTTGACCACTCCAAAACCTTAATTTTGTTTTTTTTAGCCATTCAGAGGTGGTCTTGTGGGCGTGTTTCGGGTCGTTGTGCTGCTGTGTGATCCAAGAGCTCTTGAGTTTGAGGGAGCAAACTGATTGTCCAAAGTTCTCCTTCAGGATTTTCTGGTAGACAGCAGAATTCATTGTCCCATCAATCACAGCAAGTTGTCCTGGTCCTGAGAAAGCAAAGCAGCAACAGACCATCACACTGCCACCACCATGCTTCACTGTTGGCATCATGTTCTTTTTATCAAATGCTGTGCGATTTTTACCACTGACGTAATGGGACGCACGTCTTCCAAAAAGTTACATTTTAGACTCATCAGCCCACAGAATGTTTTTTCAAAAGTCTTGAGGATCTTCAAGATGTCGTTTGGCAAACGTGAGACAAGCCTTTGTGTTATTTTTGGACAGCAATGGTTTTACCTAGGAACTCTCCCATGAATGCCATATTTGGCCGGTGACTTTCTTATGGTAGGAGGTCTGGAGTTCTTTGGGTGTGCTAGGTTCCTTTGCAATCTTCTGCATGAGTCGTCATTGCACTCTTAATTTTTCAGTCATTTTAACGACCACTCCTGGAAATGTGTGCCACTGTTCCCAGTTAGTGTATAATGATTCCGACAGTGGTTTGCTGAAGCCCTAGAGTCTTGGAAATGACTTTGTAACCTTTTCCAGACTGATAGATTTCAATAACTTTTTCGAACTTCTTGAATTTCTTCCGATCGTGGCATGATGCATTTCTTTCTTGAGATCTTGTAGCCTATTTAACTTTGTCTGACAGATTCTATTGATGTGATTTATGCAATTACTTTTTTATTTCTGTGTTATATTGAAATTAGTATGATGAACTAAAACCTTTATGTGATAAATATGCAAAGAACACAGAAATCGGAAAAGGGGGAAATACTATTCACAGCACTGTATAGGAGTTATGTGAATTCTGGAATGCAGACTTCATCCAGGAAGACGAAATAAAGTTGCAGGTGTGTTTTGGAAAAAAAGTGACAGCTGCAAGCCAGTGTATTCAAAATTTTGCTACAAATGAAAGCCAAATATTAAAGCCATATGTAACCTTAGAAATTCCAAAAAGTGGACAACCATTCAAAATGCAGTATTAACAGGGTTTCCTCCAGAAAACCTGCTCAGCCTCGCGGTCGAGAAGCCTACAAGCTTCAAAAACGATATTTCTTTTATTCAGTGGACTATTTATTTATTGGTCGGCATATTACTATGACAACATTGTCTGGACGACATATTTACCCAGTGGTGGTTCGCAGCCTTGATTCGGTCAGGGAGCCTTATTCTGAAGGTTTCCTGACCTGGTCAGCTATTTATTTATTTATTTTTTTGGACACATCACAGTGACAGCTCAGACGAAGGCTGAAGTGACAGCCGAAACTGTCAGTTCGGTAAGAGTTTTTTGCTTCACTAAAAGAAGACCATTGTCTAATAAAAAAAGGAAACCTTCAACCAATTTTAACTAATAAGAAGACAAGATGAATGTCATAGCGCTACCATGTTTTTCTCCAATTTTACAAAGCTCAGCTACACCATCATCGCCTCCAGTAGAAGAGTCTCCAAGTGAACTAAAGCCTGTACGAGTCAAGGGAGAGCCGCCGCCTTCACCACCAAAACAAACCTCTTCGCCACTCTGAGAAGGTAATGTTGATTAATGTTAATTACTGTATGCTTTTCTAATTAAAGATTTAGGGAAATGCTTGTAATCTTTGTCTCAAATATGTAAAGTATAAATACTGTTTACCTAGTTTAAACATGCTGTTAAGTACAGACACGAAAATTCCTAGGGTTGGCTAAATCCTACCATGCGGTTTTTCACCTTTCACAGGGGGTTTCTGGGCCCCAATAACCGCAAGAAACAAGGGATTACTGTATTGTGAAAATAATGGGTATCAATCAGCCTCAAAATTTATGTAGACCGCTGTTCTTAGGCCCAGTTCAAATCTTTAATAATATCACAAAATGAGTAGCATTTAAATAGCTGATTTAAAAGAGCAAGAAATGAGCGGCCTATGCGCAGTTTCTCTCATGTCTGTTTTCTTTTATAAGTCACCAAGACACACAAACACAATGCGTTCTGAGAGCTTTTTCGCATCTGTTGTTATATATTAGATTTTAATTCATAAGTGTAAGCTTGACTTACTTTTTGTCCTCAAGGCCACACCAGTGGGTACACCAGTACCACTCATCCGAAAATGAAGCGACAAATGCTGGCTCACTCGGCTGTCGAGTCTGCTTCCTCACTGGAGACTTGGTGGCCTAAAGTCTATCCACTCATTCACCATTTTCTGCACTGCATATCCTCACTAGGGTCATGCGCGGGTGTGCTGTATTTCCAACTTTGAAATTTCACCAGCGGATTAAAAAGATGGACCTCATATTTGCTCAAAAGAGTGATTAGGCCTTTATGATGTTGCCACACAGTTTGTGAATTTTCCAAAACGTTGCCGTGACAAAGCGCAGCTCGCTAATTAAACAACGCTGATTTTGAGGTTCACAACTCATGGAATTTTCCACACACATCATGCCTGGCAAAACCATCTATATTTCATTAGTTTATGATGCACGGAGCCCGTTGAATGAATCTAACTGAAAATTTTTCAGAAAAGCCTCAAGACGTTGATCTTGGTCTATGGCGGAAATTGTGACTTTTTGGCGAAAGGCATGGCCATTGCAGTGCCGCAAATTCGGATGAATCACCGTGACAAACGTTGCTGCTACTTGACCCAGATGATCCCGCTGCAGCGGTCATTCAAGTGACTGGAACCCAGTCGGCTGTGTATGCACCCCAAGCTTAAATATTAAAGTTTAAGGTCGTGGGGACTTCGGCTGATTGCACATTTACAACTTAGAATTCTTTGCATTCGCCACACTGTAAAACTCTGGTGCCTGTGCACCCAAATAGGGTGCACTAAAGACCCCTGGCATAGGCGCAAGAAAAGCCTGGTGGCCTGCCAGGCCCATTAAGTACTTGGGAGAAATCTATAAATACTAAAAGGAAGCCTGAGATTAATCTGAACCAGCTCGGATGAGAGGCAAAACAGTCCAGCTTTGATCAACTCAATGCCTTAATAATGCAGTGACATAGATAAATTTGAATATTCTCTTGCCAGAGATTAGAGCTTTACTTTAAATATCAGGGGACAAAAAATATCTCTTCACCAGTTTTTAATATCAGGGCTGCAGATTTAATGACAAATACACCTCTCTGTTTGGTTCATTATGTAAATTTGTGAATCTTACGCTCTCTCTGTGAATCTTACTCTAATTTCCATGCCGCACCAGCCATACAACCAACCGTTGGTCACCGATTCTGTCGTTAGAAACTCACCTGAAAAAAGGGTTCTTTAAATCCAAGAGGTTGCTGGACTTTGATCCAGTCTGGTCCACCTGAGCAGCAATACTGATGTCATAACTTTGTCTGTTGGGAAAGATTTTTCATTTGATCACTTGATGAGTAAGGCCTGGATGACAATGCATTACAATAAAAGGAAAACAGAAGTTATGATGGTTGTTGACCACATGTCCCTGGCATGCTCTCTAAAACCCAACAGTCTCAAACGTGGATTTTAAATTGGACAGTGTTTATAAATGTACCAGCAAATTGGTGGTGGTGTTAATTCCATCTTTTTTCATTTTAGAGAGATGGCTAAGGCAAAGCCTCTGCTTGCTCAACATCACTTAGAAGCAGTATCCGTGCTTTTGTTACATCTCACCTGGATTACTATAATGTATTTTATTTTGGAGTCAGATAGTCCTCTCTCAAGTGTCCCCAGTTGGTCCAAAATGCTGCTGCTCGCCTCTTAATTATTTGGTGCTCAAATAATTAAAATTCTAGCCTCCATTAACGGGCTCCCTGTACATTTTAAAGTTCTCCACCATTACCTCTCTGCGCTACACACCTGCTTGGTGACTCAAAATTTAATACTCCACAAGGACAACCAAGTAAATACAAAATGCAGTTTATAAATATTAGGAAAAATAAAACACAAACCTCTCTCTCCCACTGTAAAATAGTTATTTGTTAAATTGTTAACTGTTATTAACCGTCGTTTTTGGAGAATTGAGATAAAGTTCACTGACGAAACCCAGGCATGATTACCGATGGATTTGTTGAATCAAGAAATGGCACCTATTAGACAATATAGAACAAAATCTAAAGATAAGATAACCTTTATTTGTCCCACACTGGGGAAACTTGCAAGAACATTTTTAATGATTATTATATATTATACATTATACATTAAAGAAACACCATGCCACAATACAAAGTCAAGAACAAATGAAAAATGACCAAATTTGTATTGTAAAATAAAATTGAAATGCTTCAGCTGCCTTGTGGAGAACAAGTTTTACCTGGGCATCTATTGTTGCAAGTAGAATTGAATAGTAAAAGTAGACTTGCTTTTTCATGCTTTTGTTGGTGATAGAAAATGGCGTGATAGGCCGGCATTGACTCTGCATTGGATTTTTATTGAATTTATTTCTTGATAATTTTATTGTGAGTCCTATACAAAATAATTATCAACAATTGGAAAAAAATGGCAACTTGATGCAATTTCAGCAAAAATACTTTGTCTGTTTAGGGGACCAAAAAGGAAGTTATATTTTTGTAACAATATATTTAGTTGACCGTTGGTATTCGCGGGGAATATCTGCAAAAATTTGTGTTTTAATGGTACCAATTGTTTTTAACTCATTAAAAAATGAGTTTGACACCCCTGCCTAAGCGAATCAAGGACAATGAATTATCAGTGGCGTGTTGCTTTAAGGGGTTATAGCACCGCAATCAATGATGAGGATCATTAGCATTAAGCTAGCAGACTGAAAGCCAACGCTATATTTTTTTTAATACACAAGTTGTAATCTATCTTTTTAAGTTAAGTTTGACAGTCAACTTCAACGAAGAGGTGCATGAAACAGCTTAAAGCCTATTTTTAAAAAGAAATATTCATATTAATCAAAGTACTGTATTGCTGCTGTGAAGTGAGAAGAGTTGAGTTCATTGCCACAAAACAGTGCTGGTATCTCAAATATGAGCTGAGAAGAAGCAAAAAAAGCAAAACAAATTCTCTACATGATCACTCTTACAGCTGCAGCTGTTGTGAAAGCACTATATAAATCAGGATGTATTGTATTGTGTTATCTTAATAAACTTTTAAGTGTGGACTATGATCTATTGCAGGGGTGGATAACCCACGGCTCACGAGCCGCATGCGGCTCTTTGGCTGGTTCAATGCGGCTCCCGGGCTTTCACATGACAAGCGTGGAAAACGCCTCGGCGGTTGCACTGCCATTCAAACAACGGCGCGAAATACACAGAACTAACTACGTCAGCCTATCATCAATCCCGTTACTTGATTGACATACAGGGCAACCAATCAGATGACAACTGAATCACCGCTCATGCGCAAACAATGGTGCATAGCGCTAATGATTGACAAACAGGGCCAATCAGATGACAACTGTATCACAGCTCATGCGCAAACAATGGTGCTCAGCGCTAAGCGTGAAGCTAGTCAGCTATAAAGGTAGGGGTGCCCAATAAATCAATCGCGATCGACCCGCAGCCAGTGGACTGGTCCCAAGTCGAGCGCGAGGGGGGCAATGTATGTGTGTTGCGATTTCGTTCGTGTTCAGTGAAGTTCCGGCTCTCGCTCATCTAGGTGTCTGTGCGTGCCTACTGGTTGGCCACCCCTGATCTATTGTATGATGTATTGTATCACCATTGAATTTGAGAAACATAGTATGGCCTACAGTGGTACCTCTATTTACGAACGTCTCCGCATACGAAACTTTCAAGTTATGATGCGCCTTAACAGGAAAATATTGCCTCTTATGAAATAAATTTCAAGATACAAAAGGTAAAAATATAGTATGGGCTGCTACTCGCAGATCAAAGTTTCCTGAACGCAACATACTTAGTGCTGCTCTGCCATAGGCTATTGCCGAGCATCATCCTGGCATCCCATTGGCTAAGAAGGACCTCTATCGTACGTGTCTTATCTGTGTATATAAATAGATATGTGTTTATGCAGCATCCTCGTCATTCGCCCCTCGGGCCATGAGGCGTTCCGATACTTTAACATAAATGTGAATCACCCAGAAAAAGTGTTCACCAGTTGGGCGATCGCTCACTATGCTGATGTTTGCTTTGGACATTTTCAAAGGATTGTTAAAAGTCGACAAAAGCAAACGTCCTCGGATGAGTTCTTTACAAAATGCCAGGTAAAAAGCTCTTCTGAGAGAGAACATGAACTAAAGAGGGCAAAAAACGATTAGGTCACAGTTAAAAGTTAAATGACTGAAGTAAGAATAATTATATTGTGTTGTTTTTCCATGTTTAAAGATGTTTCGCAATAGCTTTGTAACCAGCGATGTCGCTATATAATCAGCGATGTCGCAATATAATCAGCGATGTCGCTATATAATCAGCGATGTCGCAATATAATCAGCGATGTCGCAATATAATCAGCGATGTCACAGTCTTTGTATAAACAGCAATGTCATGTGATGTTGAGCAATGTCATTTGTTAAGAACAAAGATAGCGTGGCGTCAGGCACGCTTAGACTATAAAAGGAGAGATTCGGATACTGAGAGTCTAGAGTTAGTAGAGTCTAGGGTCCGGAGTTCGCAGAGTCCAGAGTCTGCTAAGGGTTGCGTACGGACGCCCAGCTGGTATTGAAGCTCGCTCTACCTGGGGTGTTGGCTCTCCATCCTATTGACGCACGGTAAGGGCTGAAACACTTTGCCACTCAAATCATGCGCATTATGAGGAATTGAATTTGTTTTTATTTTATTTTCATTAATGTTTTTATTTATGTTTTGATCTTCTGATTTATTTTTATTTATGTTTTCATCTTCTGATTTATTTGAATCCTTCATATGGGAAACTAAAATTTTTTACTAGAAATAAATTCAAATGGATATTAAAATTTTTATTGCAATCATAGTATCATCCTTGAGTATAAAATTCTAT